CATTAACTTCGTTTCTGTAAGGGTGCATTTTACTATAGCGTACATTACTACTGGCCGAGCAGCTGTCGAATATACATCGACCTTAACTGACTTAGTGACAGCAGTCATGCGCAGATTTTGCTGCAGCCTTCCTGATTTCTTTCCTAAACATCTGCTTCCCTCATTGGTTCGATAACGTGACCATCGGTCCAATATGGGGTTCATCGCAAAGACCGCAATGTCGTCAGCATAATCCACAAATTGTAAATGGCGTCTCGATGGCTAAAGTATCAAAGTTCGCTATCAAAGCTTGTAACTGCCCCGGCCATCACGGCATCCATGCAATGGTTCAACAGCAGCGGTCCGGTGGCCGACCCTTGCAACATTATTCATCAATCGGAACCCTGTCTGATACCTCTAAAACTGTTCGAATCACCGCAGTTGTCCTGGTATAAATGCATCTCAAAACGTTAACAGCTTCTTCTAGGATACCGCCATCTCTTAACAGTTAATACAGCGTGGACGGTCAAAACCTGCCTCAAAGTCGATGAACACGACGAACAGCGGTTTGTGGTATTGATTGTACGTCTTCAGCAAAATGCGCAATTTTAGAATGTGATCAATAATCGATCGGCCAGTCACTTTGCTTCCTGCAAGGCTGAATTCTGCTCCGCGAAAATTCTTTCAGTGACCTTCAGGGCCTCGCAGATGAGACAAACTCCTCCGTAATTTAGGGCGTCAAAACAGCTCATTTTTGTGCATCAGAATAGCTATTGCTTGCGCAACTCCTAGGTACTGTCTGTTCTCCAAATTTTCTGGATGATGTTCAACAGAACCAGCAGTTCAGTATTAGGCACATGTTTCAACAGCTCCACGTGAACTTCATCTGATCAGTTCTTTCATCATTCTGCCCCCTTTCTAAGAGCATTCAGAATCTCTTCGCTGCTTGGTACATCAACATGCAGTCATAATCAGAGGAGGGTCGTACTTCGCGGAGACGGTTAATGAGCTGCTGGAAACGTTCCCAAAATCAGACGACACATTTTAGGTTCTATGAGCATGATGCATCTATCTTTAGAACTAATGAACGACGGGCTGGTTTTGTTTCCAACACTGAATCGCCAAATCAAAACAAACGCTTCTTGCTTAACAGCAGCTCGTTTTCGACACGGAACGTTCCTTTCCTCAGTTTTCTGCGAATCTGGCTCTTTTTCGTTCATTCGCAAGCGTCTCTTCTCAGCTCCTATTCCCACAGACTGACTGGTACTTTGGAGTAGTGGGATATTACACTAGCGGCCGTGAGTAAAGAGTTATTGAAATCATTGCTGTGTCAGATGCAAATACCTGTTCAGTGCCTCAGAATATACTTTTTGACAGGTTTTCCTGTAACGATGCAATATCAAGAGTTGGCACAGTATCCAACACTTTAGCAGTAGCACCAAACCACTGATGCGACAACCAGAACATTACTGGACAAACAAGAACATCTCGAGATGCTCTTAGACCGTCTTGCGATGTGTTGTCAACCGTCTATCATGAATATGTCATGTACCTGCAGTTGTAACCTGTTCTGTCCACGCTCTTTCCTCTGCTCGATAGACAAATGCTGCCGACTTTGCCATGCTCGTCTTTGAGAGAGTCAATTTCGCCTCAGGGTCGTCGCAATTACCAGGATGAATCTTTCAGTGAGGTTGACAGCGTCGAACAACGGTCCAGCCTCTAGTGCCAGCAAAACCATTTTAAAGATAACTTCTTTCACCGCATCCTAATTTTCTATTGGTGTCCATTCGAGGAATTACAAGGTCATTCGACGGTATGGCGCCAAGGAATTGTTAAAGCCTGTCGTCGAATGCGTATTTTCCATCTTCATCTGTACAGTTCATAGGCGTAGGCGTATATACTCCATGTTGTTCTGAACACCGCGTAATTTTTATCCGACATAAACTGGAGCAGATTGCTCCCCATTCTTCGGCAACTCTTTTATAGTGTGACTACAGTGCGACCCCGTAACCACCTATTCCTTCATCGACCTTCGATATGAAAGAAAAATGAGTCGTCTGACCATTTGGAAAGCATATTTTGTGATTGTATCATTATTTAATCGCATGTCTTGGAGGAGTGCTATCGATGCGTTAAGATTGTTCAAAGTTCTGGTAACGGCAGCTTACTCATCTTCACCTATCAAGGACTAACTCTTCAGGACAACAGTATTTAGCTTACTCCGTAGTCTAAACAAATTCTACGGTGGTCCTGAAAAAGACTTTTGAGCATGGAGAGGTAGAAGGATTACAGTGACAATATTTGAGCGTCTGCAGAAATGCAGTGCGAACGTTGTGTCCAACGAGCTACCCTGCACATTTGCTGATATCGCATTTGGACATTTTGTATCCAAGTAGAAATTCAGAGTCAAACTCCCTACCTCCCATCCGTCATTCCCAAAGACGATAAAAACTGTTTCATAACAAATTCTGGAGAGACATACGAGACAGACGTTTTATTAGTTTTACTCACTTTCTTCAGTACATAAGTACTAGTCATTCATTTGGTCACCTTGAAGTTCTTCCGTTTTGCGTTGAAATCGAAAGTCTTTGCTTTGGTGAGGCTACTTGTCAGTACCTGGTAGAGGGCGTGAGGAAGCAGCTCATTTTGATCCGGAATACGAGTAATCACTTTTAATCATCATTGTCTTATAATCATATACATATTGCCTTGGTCATTCTCTGCCTCGTTCGATTTAATCATCGTAGGATGCCGTTAGTGCTGAAACAAAGTAGACAGCGTACTAGACTATTTCAAAACGTACTAAACAGGTACTTGACATTGCAGAAGGCCAATCCACGGCTTTGGCCAAAATGTTTCTTGACAGCGTGTCGTCCTTATTCATCCAATGTTTAAAACGTGAGAGTATTCTTTCAGTGACAC